TATTGATATCGGTATCGGATTCGCTCCGGATCTTGTGAGTTATTGGTCATATCAATTATGGGGAAAAACAAAAGGGCCTGGAATGGTGTAATTTTTAATCAACACCATTGTCCTATATTAGTTACATATACATTGTAAAGTTGAATTCATTGATTCGTCGTTTTTACGTCATGCCGGCTTACAAATTTGACCTCGTCTTCTTAGTAGTATAGATATTGACGTGGTGTATTATTCTTCTATTTTCATCGGTTATTACGATCACGTGATTCAAAGGGTAGTATTTGTACCTTAAGTTTTGTTTCTTTTTTGAAGTAAAAATGTATATGGACACTTTGTTTCTATTCATATATAGATTGACGATCAAAATTAAAATCGTGCAAAATACAATGAAAAATACACAGAAAGAACATTGAAGTCCATTTCCATAATACACTCTTTAAATGATATATAGCATAGGGACTTTTAATTAGTCACTACGTTATATATGGAACTCCGTCGATATAATCTGAGCAGGTCCATATATGACATATTGACCTCGCCAAAAGTCCATGAAGTGTACTGTGAAAGTACTTTTATTCGTCGGGTACCAATTTTCGTGGTTTTCGTGGATGACTTTATCCACGAATTTAAGTGTCCAAATATATCAAATGTTGTCCAAATCAAAGTTTGACTACATGCATACGGGCAAAAAAAAAATAGAGAATACATCAAATATCAGCAAACGCATTATGAACTATATATACAACTTGAGACACAATTTTCTCTTTTTAATCTTTTAAAAAACTGAAACTGTACACTTTTAACCTTTTATTTTTCAAGAAAAATTAGTTTTGAGCGATGAAAGACAGACTTTCGGTAATGATAAGTGATGATAAAATGTTAATTTTATCTCCTTATAATTCTCATACGGAAAAAAATATCATTTTGGGATTGATTTTTCATTATATTACAAATAATTCTACAATTTAAAGTACATGTGGCATTGTCTAATGTACCCGTTTTCTTTAAGTGACATGTTTATGGCCCAATTAACACCTTTGCTGATCAATAATCTGTTGATCATTAGATCTCGGGTTAATTAGTGTCACCACCTCTGATTAAACAAATGTAGGACAGAAAGTAACAGGACAAAAAGTCACGGACAAAAAGTCACGGACGAAAAGTCACGTTCAAAATGTCACGGACAAAAAGTCACGAACAAAAAGTCACAGGACAAAAAGTCACAATTAAGTTGGAGATTATTTTTCCTTGAATAAGAAAACACATATTTCAAAACATTTTTTTTTTTTTTATTTTTCTTGAACTATTATATATACATTAACTTTGTAATTAAAATTTATTTAATAAATATCAATAATGATTAAATAATTGTTAAGAAAACATGATGTCAAAGCGAACTGGTATTTAAATGGCTTCATGATGCCAAGAAATATATCCTTTGCATGATTATTTTTCCTTGAATAAGAAAACACTAATTTAAAAAAAAAAAAAAAAAAAAAAAGAATTTCTTGAACTATTATATATACATTAACTTTGTATTTAAAATTTTAAATGGCTTCATGATGCCAAGAAATATATCCTTTGCATGATTAAAATTTAATAAATTTTCACTTATCAAGGCTAATGAACAGTTTCCTAAACTGTGAAATGAACATATGTAATAAAATGAAAATATTTCAAGATCTTTCTACTATATATTCAAACTATTGTCAACAAATTATTTGTGACTTTTTGTCCTGTGACTTTTTGTCCTATCAAATTTGTGACTTTATGTCCTGTGACTTTTTGTCCTGTGACTTTCTGTCCGTTTACCGATTAAACGTGTGCAACAATTGAAATGTTTACTTTGCAATTTCTTTCAATAAAGACACTTTGATAGCATAGACGAGTCAGTTTCGTTCCAAAAGCAATTATCTTTATTAAAAAAATTGATGAATGTTTACACTAATAAAATACGAACAAGTTTGTGAAAATGAACACTTCATTTTTCAATGTCCCGCAAATCAGTATAAAACAACTTGTGATTATTTTTAAGAATCTTCGGTTCTGATGGCTTCAAATTCTTCACTCATTTTTTTTCAGAAAACTAAAATCCACGAATTTAAGAACCCACGAACATGTAACTTTTCCTCAAACCACGAAAATTGGTACCCACGAATAAAAGTACTTTCACAGAAATTACTTTTTTCTATTTGAATATATTTGAAAAAAAAACTTTCTGTTATAATCTTGGTGTTTATAACATGTATACTGCACAAAAACGTTATGAGCGAGCTCACTATATTGATATCTTCTTAGATTTAAAACCAATGCATCGGTTTGTGTTCAACATCCAGTGGCAAATTCTATATGATGACGGACTCATATAAGTTTTTCGTGTTCCCGAATGCCTGTATTTTTATTGTAATGTGTGTGGTTTTTTTTAAAAGATCTCCCAGACACCTATCGCATGTTTGCCAATACTTAGAAGTTTTAATATGTTAAATGAAACTAATATTTTGCGTCACACATTTATCGACTACTGCTGCACTAAATAACTTCATGTTGGGTCATCAGCCCAAAGCAATGAATTGTAAGGTATCAGCCTTTTTCATACCTGTCAGACTTGTGCGGAATTAATAAAAAAACAGAACCCCTATTAATATCCTAAATTTTCATCAAGCCTGTAAGTTTATGTCAAATAAGCCAATTTGCTTTAAAAATAGTACCCTTCAACGTGTAAAAGTAATAAACTACGGCGTGTCTGACAACAATTTTTAATTAACTTTGAATATTTCTTATGAATAAAAGAAGATGTTTCAACTTAAGAATTTCGAATGTCACTATATTATATTGTGCCTATTTTTGTATGTGTCCTTCAGACCTGCTTTATTGGTTTGAACATAAAATTGTCCGTTAGTTTTCTCGTTAGATTTGTTTTACTTTTATCATTTCTGGATCTTTTTTTTTTTAGTTTCATATGCAGAATGGGTTTTTGTTCAATCTTGAAGGCCATACGGTAACCTATGATTGATAACTTCTTGTTAATTTGGTCTTTAGTGCTGCATTTTCTCACTAACTATCATACCGCTTTTAATCTGTTGCATATGTTGCCGGGATCATTATATAAGGCAATTAAACAAATACGATGGTTTACCATAGCAGAAGCCTTACGTTAATATTGAAAATGGTTTCTCTCTAGTCACTACGGCTTTCCCAACTCATAAAAACTGACCGCCATAAAATAGCCAACAGTGCTGAAAGTGGCGTTAATTATCAATCAATCAATATGTTGAAAGTACTATCCAAATGTGTTACATTTTCAAAAATCATTGTGTTTGTTCACCGTTTGGTGAAAGGGAACCTTTTATATTTGCACAATCTGTGATTTTTCTCATTTAAACTAAAATACAGAAGTTTGCTACTTATGGCGATTGTACGCATGTGCATAGAAACACGAATACTCTGGTTGTATCCATCAATCACACAATTTAACGTGGACAAATATCAAAATGAATAGTTACTATTATAATAATTCGTTATTTAAGGGTAACAGATGCTATGTTATACATGCAAAGCATGACAATCGGCTGACAAAAAAAAAAACTAGTTACACACTTTAGGAATAAAGCTGGATAAATACTTAATTAAGCTATTTGCAATACTGATATCATTAATTAATAATCGTGTTGATGAGTTATCTATAATTATGTTAAACGTATAATAATATGATTAAATATTTATTCTCTGTTTCTTTTCACATGCATGTTGAATTTGCCAAATTGATTATGATTGAAATTATTTATTTTGCACAATTGTGCAATTTTCTTCTTAAAAACATTTGTAAATTATAACTTGTCCATAATTAGGGTATTCATAAATGAGTATCTCGTGATTTTCTGTCACAATTGTAGCTCGGTGAGAGATGGCTAATAAGTTATATTTATGTGTTAACATTTTCCTAACTGTAGTAGAAGCTATTATAAGCTGAAATGTAAAAAATATTATATCTATGACTATCATTATTTTTTTTTTGTGTCTTCGGCACGAAACTGTAAGAGGTCTCACTTCATACAAAACGTTTATATTTTCCTTACATTGTATCTATACATATGATTCTAGTTAACAGTATTACCATGATATCGATAGATAAACCAATTTGTTTTCGCTAATAGAAAAAAAGCCAGTATATAAACAATAAGTCATATGTGGATTTTGATCCTTATAAGTTCATTAACTAAGTTGGCAAATAAATTATCACGAAGTTGAATAATGTGGTCAAAAGCTTATTGAAGATATCTTGGTTAAGGATTTAGTATTCAGTTGTATAGTCATTGCAAGCAGTGGCACTCCAATCAAGACTTTATAGCTTGCTGTTTGGTGTGAGCCAAGGCTCCGTGTTGAAGTCCGTACTTTGACCTTTGTTAACTTTTTATACATTGTGACTTGGATGGAGAGTTGTCTCATTGGCACTCATTCTACATCTTCTTACTTATATTGTCTGGTGAATGATGTTTTGGTTAGCATTGTCAATAACGAAAAACTCATAATACAGTTCTTGAATGGTTAAAATTTCCCACTCACAACATTGACCTTTATACCATGCAGCATTCACAATTACAGCTTACCATACACCATTCCTCATATATAAGTATACCACACACCATTCTCTATACATCATTACACACTTATTTTCTCCCATTCATATCTAAACCATAAACTGTTCGAACTATGTAAAAGTACGCTCAATGTAACGCGTTTAAGGGAATACAAATTTTAATGTATATCAACATTTATAAAGCAAATCAGATTTTAAACCCAAACAACATTCATTTTACCAGATTCATAATTATCGATTGCACCATACGCTATTCCCCATTCAAAAACAAAAAAATATTGAATTTGTTACAAAATGCTGACATAGGCGGAGTTTGACGATTGACATTGATCAATTCTCATATGGGTGTTGCACCGACTATAAAAGTTTATAGAGATTTTGCCAATCCAACTGCCTACAAAAATAAACTATCTCACAATGTTAATGCTGAGGATTGGTGTCATCTTGGTATTAGGTATGTATGAATATTCTTTTCAACAATCTTTTTTTATAACTATATACTGCATTGCAATAGTTCTTACATATCTTAAAGGGACTAGTGGCTTCAAATTGCTTAACTATGGTTTGTAATATTCTTTATTATGGTATATGCATGTAAAACTAAAAATATAATTAAAGGGGAAATCACAAATAATCTTTACGTATATAAATATTTGATAATAACTACGTGCACGGAAACTTAAATTAAAGACAACAAAAAATTACTTATGTTCAAATTTTGTAAATTCATACAGAACATAATCCCCCCCCCCCCCCCCCAAATTAGATATAGAGAAACGCAAAGTTTCTAAGATACTTTTGAATATGCCAATCTTAGTTTGACACTCTACTATTTTGTTAATCATAATTTATACGCTGATAGCATATAACTTGAAAAAGGCAATATTCCGTTGAGTAACATGTGTAAGTTGCTCATATTTATTTGAGTGTTTTCTTATAGAGTAAATGTTGCTTAAAAGTTATTGGAACCAGCTATGATAACATTGAGGAATTGTAAAACTGCTGATAACTTTTAGTAAAAACTCATATTGCCTGGTCTGTTCTTTCGAGTTGTTATAAAAAGATACATCAGATTTGTGTAAGACATTACTGTAATGGTGTAAGAAAGAACATCAAGTAGTTTTGTATCGAACAGATTGCATACAAAACATCTACAATTAACTACGCGTATCACACATGATTAAATGCAGGAGGACATTGTTTTTCTTTTGTAGCTCTATGTGAAGTTTATCGAATTTTTACCAAAAATCTGAAAGCTAGATATGGGTGTATATACTTTACATAGTGTACCAAAAAAAGAAGAATAACAAAAATACCAAAACCACGAGGAAAATCCAAAACGGAAAGTCCCTAATCAAATCGCAAAATCAAAAGCTCAAACACATCAAACGAATGGATAACTACTGTGACTTGGTACAGGCATTGTTCATACTGAATACTTTTTGATCATTTCCTAACTTTGCGTATGTATGATTTAGTAAATAAAATACTGTTTAATCATATTTGTAACTCCGTTGACCACACATATCTTGTAGTCTCTCAAGTTTAATTCAAACGATTATTTTATTCAAGATGTTAAATTACAAATGCACTGATTTACTTTAGCAAAGAAAAATGTGTATGGAATATTAATGATAAAAATCAAAATTCCCTTTTGATTTTGAAAATTTGTTTGTTTGCCGTTAAATGGTTCAAACAATTTCAAATTGTGATACACCTCAATGAGACAACCACCAATAAGGTCATTTTAATATTATCCACATCATCAGAATAATTCGGAACATACACTCATAAGTCTTGTCAAGTGTTATTTTTCAGATGTTTTATTATTATAAATCCAGACTTTTAAGTTCCCTTTCAGACAATAAGTGAACGAATTAAAACGATGCTATTGTATCTGTTCCTGTTGGAACACATATTCTATATTCTTTATTCCATCAGGAACAAATACCGTAACATAATTTCCAGTGGGATTTATTTCATAAAGTAACTTCACTTTATTAAGCATTCAGTGTGTTGCCGTTGTACAGGGTAGAACAGCTGCTAAATAGTATGAACATGTCGATTGTACAGATCCTAATTGATTGGATTCTCTGAATTTAACTGAATTAACCGTTTTGGAAACATCTGAAAACTAACAGAAATCACCTGATTTAATCATTATTGTTCAGACTTCTTTAAAGAGCTGTTCATATCAACATGTATTGTTTCAGTAAAACATTGGTTAATTTATGAACAACATAACGATACAAATAAACAAACAACATTTTTTATTTTTTTTAATTTGTTTCAAAATCGTCTATATGTGTTTTGATTTACAGGAATATGTTTAGAAGGTCTTCGAAACGAAGTACACGAAGGTATAGCTAAACGAATAGCAGATAAAACTAAAGAAATAAACAGATTAGCTGATAAACATTCTTGTCCTGATGACATGTATGATGACGGTACAAAGTGTTGGAAAACTTCATATGGAAGAGGAGCAGGTCGTGTTCCGGATAAAGCAAAGTGTCCCCTAAATCAACGTGACGATGGGACAAGCTGTTGGTTAGATAGCTATGGGAGAGGGGCGGGTAGATTGCCTGATAAAACACCATGTCCATCTGGAATGCGAGATGACGGTACCAGTTGTTGGAGTGATGCCCATATATATGGAAAAGGATGTTGTTGCACATTGTTTGGATGCTGTAAAAACAAATGTAAGAGTGGTTACAGAGACGATGGATGCACGTTTAGAAAGAAAAATATAGGTATAAAATTGACACTCTTCCAACGACAAGGGTGTAAATCTGATGAAGAGATGAATGGACGTCTTTGCTATCCAAAATGTAAAGCTGGATACTATGCAACTGGATGTTGTATATGCACACCAAAAGGCGGCCCAGGTATACGGAAAACTCTTGCACAAAGACAAAGTTGTCGTAATGAAGAAGAACGAAACGGAGCCTTGTGTTACCCCAAATGTAAAGCTGGTTATAAGCCTTTTGGATGCTGCATTTGCGACCTGGACCTGGGGTATAGAGGACACACTCCATAAGCGACAATATTGCAAAGATAATTAAATCAAACTGCAGTGTACTTGTTTGAAGACATGTTTAAGTAACTACAGTTATTATAATAATGGCGGCTTCTGTAAGAAAAATAAAGAGAGATCTACTGGACTGATTGTGTTATCAATAATTAAAAGAAAGTTAAGCCCTCTTCAACTGATTTTTATAGTTTGTTCGCAGTGCTGTTACAGGGGTTGGTTGGTCGCCCGCAACTATGTTTAACCCTGCCACATTGTGTATGTGCTTTTCTCAAATCATAAGGCTGTCATTAGTAACTGTATATCATATCATTTTTCGTTTTTTCATTTATTGTATTACATATAAATTCATTCGTTAGTTTTCTCGTTTGAATTGTTTAGCATTTTTCATATCAGGCCTTTTATAGCTTTCTATAATATACGGGCTTTGTTCATTCTTAAAGGGTATACGATGATCTACAGTTGCTAACTTCTGCGTCATTTTTTCTACGGTGCAAAGTATACCACATCTTCGTATTTAAATATTCATAATATTTAAAAACAGAATGTTGTCAATACGCTATGGCGCAAATCGTCTCAAATTTTATATCATATAGAAATAAGACGTGTCCCCTTATCGATAAGACTCTCTCCATCAGAGACCAAATAACGTAAAATTTAAAACAACTGTAGGTCCCCGTCCAGCTATCCACTATGAGTAAGACCCTATCAAAGGCCCCGAAATGATAATGTATTACAATTCAAACGAGGATAGTATCGGCTTGATTTATGTACAAAAAAAAACGAGAAACAAATATGATACACAGCAAAATCAATATCACAAAATACCAATATAAAAATAACACACAACAATATAACACAAGAAAACCACTGATACGAGTATATGTAGAATGTGTAGCATATGGCGGCACAGGTAATGTGAAAAATCTTGCACAACGGAAAAGGTATCCTAATGATGAGAATAAAAGCTGCGCATTGTGTTACCCCAAATGTAATGCTGGTTATAAACCTCTAAGATGCTGTATCTGCGAAACAAATGACGGACCTGGTATAAAGGTCACATTATCTTAGCGACAGTATTGCAAAAAATAACGAAATCAAACGACAAACCACTTGTTTGGAGAAATGTCAAAGTGGTTTTAATGATGACAAGTATGAACACATCTGTAAGAAAATTTAGAGAGAACTAATGAACTGATTAAGTTATCAACAATTAAAACATGATTATTACAAGTGATGTCTTTCTCGAACTGTTTGTGACGTCTTTAACCTTAATTCATTGGATGTGGGCTGATTGATATTTTAGTCCAAGATACATGAATTTTCTTATTAGCTGTCATTTGCTTTGAATTAGCTAGCTGCGAGTAAACTCAGTCTTGTGTCTTTTTGTGCTTTGTATCGATATGATAAGTTAAGCCCTTTTCAACTGATTATATAGTTTGTTCTGAGTGTGCTGTTACATCAGGGGTTGGTTGCTTGCCCGCAAATCTGTTTAACCCTGCCACATTTTGTATGTGCATTTCCTTAGTCAGGAGCCTGTAATTCAGTGTTTGTCATTATTTACTGTATATCATTTATCTTTTTTTCGTTTTTCGTTGATTGTATTACATATATATCAATCCTCTTGTTTTCTCGTTTAAATTGTTAAGCATTTTTCATGTCGAGTATTTTATAGCTTGCTATGATATACGGATTTTGCTCATTCTTAAAAGTGTACGAATATCTGCAGTTGCTAACTTCTATGTCATTTTGATTATGTTGGAAAATCGTCTTATCATGAATTATACCAAATCTTCGTATTTTCATATAAAAAGGTGTCAATACAAGATATAACGCTGCAAATCGTTTCAAATCTTACATCATGTGGAAATAAGACGTGTGTACCATTACAAATGAGACAACTCTACACCTAAGACCAATTTAAGGTTGCTAACCTAGGCAAGGCCTAGAAATAAAAGACAAATGTTGGGGATACACATGTTTCTGAGCGAATAACCCTTCACCTTACATTAAACAGTAATGCAATAGCACAACTATGGATCAATACACTTTGAAGGAAAATTAGAAGCACTTAATTATCTTACACCGTAATTAAACGATAGGCGTTCTAAGTAAAAGGTCATCACTTCTGTGTAATAATGACCAAGGATTGCAGATCACACATTGGTTAAATCAGAAGTGTTAGATAAGCAATTTGTGATCGAATATCTATGTTTGAAAAAACAATTTATCATATCATACTAAACCACGTAAACTTTTGTTGACTTTGGATACTGGTGAATACATAAAATTGGTTGGGATGTTTTGAAATAGTTCGCACTCCTAATATTCATTTGTTGGACAATTTTTCGAAACGTATAAAAGAACTTTGAATATCAAATGAGAGATGTTTATGCAAGAAAGAGAATATAATTGTATCTAATTGAGATAGGTGAATCGGAATTTCTGTTAAAAGCGAGGCGAAATATATCCTTTAGAACAGAGCAGAATTACTTGCCATTTTAACTTTAAGATCATGCACAATCATAGATTGCTTAGTAACAGTGTGAGAACAACAAAATAGTATCAAAGTTCTGGAGTACTTTTAAAGACTTAGCGCTAAATAAGATGGATAAAAACGTTTAGGGGACAGGATGATGGATACTTATTATGTGCGATATCAGAGTCAGTTACATTGCAACTAAAGTATTCAAAAGCCAATCTGTGGTAAAACCATGCAAAATGGTCCGAATCCAAAATATTCCAATCAGACTGATATTTTGTATTTAAGATGCTTTATATGTAATAACTATTTTGTGCAAAATATTTTGAGAAAAATATCCAGCTATTAATTTTAATATTCAGAATCATCGATAATCTTCCATTTCTGTACTGACAGAAGGCCGTTTTAGGCCTATTTTAGGGTATTTTGACCTGTATTTTTTTTAAGTGTTATAAAAAAATAACAGCTTAATAATAACACATACTTTAACAAACCACATTAAGAAAATTAGGATAGTCTTAAAAGTTTGTACATTTCTCAATACCACTATTGGCCGTGTGATATTGCTTGGTTTTGAAAAAGTGCCGATTCAGCAATTTTTTTTTTTTTTTTTAAAGGCCTGATTCTTGTAAGTTTTGTTTTCAATAAAATGCAAATGATTACTACTTACCTTAAAATAACAATTAAAGATAGACATGATGGCTATTTTGCCATATTTATGATTTTTTTTTTTGATTTTTTTTTTTGTTACAATAGAAACTTTACAAATTTATGTGATAGTCAAAATACAAGAAAAATAATGACTTAACTAATGTTTATTGCATATCTTGTTTGAATAAACTCAATTTAACTTAGTTTAAATTTTTTTTAAAAATGCTAAAGGAGTAGGCCCGGTTAGACCCCTTTTTGGCCCCAAAATATAGCATTTTTACAATTTCTTTGAAATATAAACTTTTAGCTATTTATGGAAAGTAGAATACATTAGTTACATAAATATGGGATGTTTTTTTACAATACTATGCAAATTCATCAGGTACTAGCATCATTATTTCATGTAAAATTTCTGAAATCTTAACAATTTTAGCATTTGTGCTAATTTTTAGACAGTTTATGTCTACAATGGAAGTGGCAACACTTGTGTTCAGTCTTGATATTTAAATACATGTTGCATTTGATGATAATACATAAAATATATAAAGATTGAAACTGAACACGAATGCGGCCACTTACATTTTTGACAAAAACCATCTGAAAAGTGACGTTTTATGGCATATTTGATAGATTTTTCATAGGGAAGCTTAAATTTGAGCGTCTTTAATGACCAAATCAGTTCAAATCTGTAACATAAACTAATGGAATTAAATGAAGTGGACACTTAAGTGTTTAAAAAATGTCAAAAATCTTTTATTAGAAGTACTTAAAATTTTAGGCCAAAATTAGCCCTTACAAGACTTTTTCCTTTGGATGAAACAAGGGTATTTTTTTATAAAATGGTATGAAAATGTAGACAAAATTTGTACGATATGCACAACCTTGTACATTCATGTAATCTTTTTGCAGAAGTAGGGCCAGATTCTCAAGTTGTGTGAATATCATAAAATTGTGCTTCTTGCCTGGAAAAGGGCTTCATTTTTTTTATATTGGGGTAAAGCTTTATGCCAATTATCAAGAGACTACTCCAAGCAGTTGCCTGAGAAAAGTGCCAGTGAAATTTTTGTGACGCTGACATGGACGACAGATAGTGATTCCTATATGTTGCTTCTGGGAGAACAATCGACATAACAACAATGTGAAGTTTCCTCCTAGAATGTAACCATAAAATCTCCAACAACTTGTGAATAAGACATGTAAGATGCAGTTTGCCTACTACTACCAGAGACAAACACAAATATTTCAAATTGTAATAACATTTATTTTATACCCACATGTAATAAAAACAAATATACACAAATAAATAGTTAAACTGTGGTGCATTATAATGGTTATATAATTATTCAGGCTATTTGCTTATAAATTTACTGTTTATATAATATTAGCAAAGACTGCCATAAAGAAAAACATGCAAAATCGTCTGAATACAAGTTTTTAGTTATGAATGGAGGTATCGGCAAACAGGAAGTAAAAGGTTGATAGATCTGGAAAGTTCTTACACATTCAAAGTCATCACTATAAAGCTATATACCAAATATCAAATAATTTTGCAGAATAAGAGTTGAGAAAAGTGTGATGAAAAAATTCAAAGTATCAAAGTATCATCAAACAAGAAATAGATGGTCCTTGGGGAGGGGATTATCAACATTTCAAGATCAATAATTTCGGAAGAGCTTTTGATTTTGAAGAAGTAGGGTCACCTCAATTTTCTTTTATCTGAAATTAATTTAAGATGCAAGCCAAAAACCTCCGTATGGCACCTATATTATATTTACGAAAAAGAACTGTTGGCCATGTTTTTTTACATACACACTAATAGATACAACTTTTTAATCTAGACACCCCTTGAGTGATTATTTCTATAATTAGTTTCATTCCAATCAGTAGTTTCAGAGAGAAAGATATTTTGAAGTTTAAAAGTCTGTTAACAACCTCTACAGACAATATTGGTCTCAATGTGATACCATTAATTCACATTACAGATAAACAGGTATT